GGGGGCTATATTATTTCCCCTCAATCTATCTCACAATGAGAGAGAAGAAAACCCGATTTTCTTTCCCATCTAAATGATACATTGTCGAGCCATCTTAATTAACACATGAAAAGTAAATTTATATGCAGCTGAGACACAGAATTTGCCACCACTAGACTCTAGTCCGTTCATTTAACACGTCTGTCCTTTCCACTATTATCACGAGAAAATCGATAGCAGTAACATATTCAACGCGCGAAATTTTCAATCTAATCTTAGATCACAAGACGAAAAGGCGAAAGGAGTTATATAATGATTTGTACTACATCAAGCTCGTTTGTATTCATTTATGTTGAACCAATATTCGTGAATATACGATTATAATACTATGTTTATAATTTCTGCCTTTTATTTTCAAGAAACACAGCGCTCAAGCTTCGGAATATCAAACCTACGTCCATGGGAAAATAGAAACCTTCGCGGAGCTCGGTACAAGGGCAATAACTCAATAAATACCGTTTATAAGCATGACATAAGCCTCCACGTTGGCGATACGTCTGTTTTTACCGCTCTATGCCTACTGCTAAGTAAATTGATCGACTCAGTGAAATTCTACCTGGTTTAAAATGTATAGTTGGGTCATTTTCAAGCTTGTGGGCGAGGTATAAACCTCTATTTTCGAAGATACAGCTGTCCTGAACCAGCCCTTTGACCCCGAGAATAACTGGAAACCCCCTTCTAAAAATAAAAATGACGACCCGATACACATCTCTCCGCCTAAGAAAGAAAGACGATTTCTAGAAAAGAACGCTTCGTTCGATCCTGCAAACCTTGAGATTCTTTGTATTCTGGCCGGAAAGTTTTTGTCTTCATTGATTCGTTTTTTGAAGAGATGATAGAAAGCCGAAAACCGTGAAAGTACACAGAGTGCTAGATTTACTATCGACACACGCGCGAGGCGAGGGGGCGTGACCTAGTCTTCGCGCGAGCCAATCAGCTCGCGTCGTGTTGTAGTGGCTAGACTGAGGCCAGAGCATGTTTCGACTTGCATAATACGGACGGGACTTTTAAATCAGAGAACATCTAATGCAAGGCAGTGTTTGTCAATGAGTTTACAGCCGTGGACTGTTTCTTTCAGGATACTCTTTCTTTATCGTTCAGGTAGGTGATAAAACGTTACTGTTGTTGTACTGTGAGCTTGTGTGTTGACCACTGTGTGCTCTCGTGCAGTAGTACAACGGTCATTTCACTTTTCCTGTGTGTGTGTGCGTGTGTATATGTTGTTTTTTCCTCTTTTTTTACTACTGGTATATTTCTCTTCTGCCGCATGCTCGCCGCACGTTGAGAGATGCAACAATCTTCAGTGACAAAAACAGACGAGCGAGTCTATGTCATCTTTTTAAAATTTCAGTGACACACATAATTTTCTTGACTGTTGTGGTGGCAATAATTTTCTGTTGCGTGGATCCTCTGTTTCTCACTTTCACGTCTTTTGGCAATAAATTCTACCGGCTAATAATGGTTGTTAGTGAGTGGTCTTTTCTGCTCTCAGTGAAAAGCGCTTGTTTTTTTTCTCCTTCGTGTCGTCAGCTTCAAACAAATATGTGCTGATAAAATACCGAAACGATGCATGTCACCCCAACTTTTATTTTTATTGAGCTCATGGTCTTATAAGATCGTTTATGGCAGGTTTTCCCTGAATCATAAGTGACATCGTAATTATTGCTTTACGTTATTGTCTATAAATAAGGTTGTATTTCAGTTTCCTTTTGGTTTTTATCTTCACGGTTACAAAAGAAACTGAAAAACTCCTCTGTTGTGTGGTCGCTTTATTTGTTACTCAGAATACATCGCTTCTGTGTCATAGGTATGTCTTTGAAATGTGTGTCTCTTTATTACCATACATTTTTTCACAATGATATATAGATCTAGATCTATTATGATTTTTATCATTCCATGTCATGTATTTTTCAGTTAAAAGTTGTAGTATTAAAAAGCACTCCATTCTATTCATATGACATATTTTTCCTTTCAACTTAAATAGGCGAAATGATATTCTGGGCTATCTTTGTACCAGTAGGCTAATACCATTCGTTCAAGTTTAACTCAAGTAAGCCTGGTAATTGAATGTTGCTTATCACTATCACTGATGCTGCTGTTGTTGTTAGTGCTGTTGTTTGTGTTGTAAGTGCTGCTGCTTCTTCTGCTGCTCCTGGTTATGTTGCTGCTATTGCAAATGTTAGTTTTGTGTGTATATGTGTTTCTGTTGTTAATTAATGCAACTTTCGATGTACGGTACACTGTATTTGCTAAAATCCACTTAAGAGAATAACGAATGTAATAATCGTAATTCTAGTTCTTCTCCTGGCATGGCATTCTTTTGTTTTGTATATTCTCAACATAGCAGTTGTGATTCTGTTGCTGATGTAGTTGTTACTTTCGCTGTTATTGTTATAGTAGAGGTTGGGGTAGGGGAAGGGGTATTATTGTTATTATCAAAAGTAGGTTGTGGTTATGGTTAAGGTCACGATGATTAGGGTAATGTTCAAAGTGACGGTGATTAAAGAATCGGTAATGATGACTTAGGTGGTGATTGTGAGGATGACGTTTAAAGTAGTGGAGTGATGATAATGGTGGTACTTATTGCAATGGTTAACTTGGTGGTAATTAGTAAGATGGTTAGGGTAGGGATGGTGATGGTGAAGATATTGAGGGTGATGGGTAACATAGTGATAGTTAGGGTGATCATTTCTTGTGGTTATAGTGAGGTTGACAGTTTCTTGTGGTTATAGTGAGGGTGATCGTTTAATGTGGTGATAGTGAGGGTGATCGTTTAATGTGGTGATAGTGAGGGTGATCGTTTAATGTGGTGATAGTGAGGGTGATAATTTAGTGTGGCCATTGTGTGGATGGTGGTTAAAGTGGTTTGGGAGTATATAATGGTGGTGACAGTTAACGTGGCGATAGGGAAGGTGGTGGCTAAAGTAATGATAGGGTGATGATGGTTAACGTGGTGATAGTGATGGGGGAGCCTATATTATTATAATGGTGGTGATTGTTAACGTGACAATAGTGAAGGTGGTGAAGGTTAAAGTGATGATGGCATGATGGTTAGCTGGTGGATAGTAAGGGTGATCGTTAAAGTTGTGATGACGGTTGTGGTATTTAAAGTGGTGACTGTTATAGTCCCAGGCAAAGTGGTGGGGGTAATGGTGGTGATGCTTAAAGTATTGTAACAAAGGCAATGGTCAAGGGTTAATGCTTGTTTGTGACATACCCATGATGTCTTCCTTAATAATATTTACGTTGCAGACAATAAAAGTACCCCCCGCCTAAAAAAACCAAGTTGCTATTAATAAACGTACACCCC